TTGGGGGCCCTTGTCACCCCCGCTAGGGCTTTGCCCCCCAGGGGGTGAAAACACCAAAAAAATGGTTCCCCCTTAAATCAAAAATTGACGGGTACGAGGGTTTTTTCTTAAATGTCTTGGGGAGCCCGAAATCACCTCTGTTTCGTTTTCAATTGGCCACCCTGTATATAATATCACAAGAGAAAAAAATTTGTCGCAAAAATTTTCGAAAGGTATGAAAGTTTGTTGCTTGTCATGAGCGAAATTACCGAAAAGCAACAATCTTGAATAAAACCTTGAGAACAATTTTGCCTACACAATTTTTTCTCGAGTGGTATTCGTCATGACTATTTCACGTAAGATTTTGAAAATAAATAGAATGCAAAAATATGAATAAAAACCAGAGCTGGGCAGGCCTTGAGTGCTTTGTGCTTGCGAAAGTGCTTGAAGCACTTTGAGGACTTGAAAGCCCTGTGCTTCAAGCCCTTTTATAGATTTGTAATTGGGGCTTGCAAAGTCAATTACTTTAGAAAAGTGCTTGGTAATTTGTATTTTAAAAAAGTAATTCAAGCCCTTTCAATGAGCTTCAATTACTTTTAGAGGGCTTGAAGCACTTTTGGGAGCTTGAAGCCCTTTGAAAGGGCTTGAAGCACTTTAAGAGGGCTTGAAGCACTTTTGGGAGCTTGAAGCACTTTGAAAGGGCTTGAAGCACTTTAAAAGGGCTTGAAGCACTTTAAAAGGGCTTGAAGCACTTTAAAAGGGCTTGAAGCACTTTGAAAGGAATTTGAATTGACCATCATTCAACCTATCCCCCACTTAAACATTTTCGATCGTGTTTTGTCCGTTAATTTTTTTTTCTATTATTTGAACTTGAACCGTCTTATGTCTTTTCTCTCTTAACAATGAAGGTTTTGAGCTTAGAATGGAATTAAAAAAAAAAAAAATGAATGAACTTATTATTCAAATAAATAAATAATTTATAGGTACCCTATTTAACTTTATCACTGGATTTTTTTCACTTTTCCCCATTGAACATTTTGAAAACCTTAAAATTGAATTACCATGTAGTACCCCAACTACCCCAAGTACCCCAGAACTACATCTCAAAAAAAAACATACTACTGCTACGTTGTGGAATGTGAAGTTCGTCTTTACTATACCAATTCTGTGTGATGAGTGTACGCGGTAACTTATGCCACTTTGAGAATTTTATTACAAATTCAAAGCGCTTTAGGCACATTTAAAGAGCTTCAAGCACATTTAAAGAGCTTGAAGCACATTTAAAGAGCTTGAAGCACAGTTAAAGAGCTTGAAGCCCTTTTCAAGGCACCCCAAGCTCTTTTGATGTGCTTCAAGCACTTTTCAAATCACTTTGAGGGCTTTGTGCTTGTGAAGCACTTTTGAAAATAAAAAGGAATTTGTGCTTGAAATTGAAGCACTTTGATAGAGGGCTTAGGGCTTAGTGCTTCAAGCCCTTTTACTGAGGGCTTTGCCCAGCTCTGATAAAAACTTCAAATGAAAAATACCAGTTTGACAATGTCAAAAAATGGTCACTGAAATACCATGTTGTTGGTATTGTCCAGGTAGCATTATTGTCAGGTGAATACCGAATTTATTGCCGGTGTAATACACTCTAGTGAAATAGTCAGTGTTATTTTAATTTGTTATTGTTAAATTAAAGTTTTCCGCTGGAAAATTTTCTTCAAAATGCACTATTTGAATGTTAAATAAACAATAGGGAATTTTCATATTTCTCAATTTTTTTTTTTTAGATACTTCTAGTGACCAGATATTACATAGTTTTCTTTTTTTCCATTTTAATTTATCCGTTGTACGAAATAGTTATTTTCCTAACAAGTGCGGAAAGTGATACTTTCCCGCACGCGACTGCCGTTGACCCGAACGACGCGAAGCGGAGTTCGGGCAAGCAGTCGAGTGCGGGAAAGACACTTTCCGCATGAGTTAGGAACATTATTTTTTCTACGAGCGCGTTCAAATATAAAAACAAAAAGTAAGTAAATTCAAAGCGATATATTATTAAAGAAATCATTTAATTACAAAATTACCTACTTATTTTCATATTTTTACGTTTACTTTCAAGAATGATTGAAAAAAATTATGTATTAAATCGATTTGATGTTACAATAAACAAAATTTCTAAGGTAAAAAAACTGCCCTGCCTCAAAGGAACCAAAAAGTCAAACAAGTCAAAAAAAATTATAAAATTTTTGAAAGATCCACAAATTAGATTAATATGGATCAAAATAGGAATATTTCAAATACTTTATAAGCGCATAAATTAGTTATATAGTAGCTAGGTATATCTAGCAAAAATGTATGCAGACAAAATTGATAAAATGTTGTTGGGCAGCGACACTATTGAAATGGTAACAAAAATTAAATACTTAGGAATTTGGATTGACCGTAAACTAGATTTTAAAATTCATGCATTAGAAATAATTAAAAAAATCGCTTTTAAAGTAAATTATTTATCTCGCTGCTCTCCATATTTGTCTACTTGGACTAAAAAAACTATATTTAATGTATTAATACTTCCACATTTCCATTATTGTTCTAGTATTTTGTTTCTCTTTAAACAAAATGAACTCTCAAGGTTGCAGAAATTGCAAAACAGAAGTATGAGGGTGATACTCAAAAAACCAAGGTTAACACCAATAAAGGATATGTTAGAAGAACTTCAATGGCTGCCAGTGCGGGAGCTTCTTCTGTATAACACCCTAACATTCATTCATAAAATAAAAATTGGTCAAGCTCCGCAATATTTGTTAAGCAAAATTATGTATGCTTCTGAAGTGCATCAATACCATACGCGCCACAGAGAAAATTTTTATATCCCAAGGGTAGATCAGGAAAGGTCGCAAAACTCATTATATCTTAAGGGCTTGAGTAGGTATAATGATCTGCCAAATAATGTTAAGTCTGTGAAAACAGTGAATTCCTTCAAAAGAGTTCTCAAAGATTATATGTTAAGTGATGCTAACTTTTAAGTAGTATGTGTAACTTGTATTGTATCAGTGTACGTTTTTGTTAATAATTTTTTATCATTGTGTTATTGACTGTAGATTTTAAATTAGTAGGTATATGAAAATTGTTTTTTAATTAAATTATAAATTAGCTTTAGTAAAATTTCAATTGATAACTGTAACTGTATAACTGTAAATTAGTCTTGACTAAATAAAGGATTTATATAAAATGCACGCTCGTAGAAAAAGAAATTATTGAAATTCAAATCAAAAACTTTGGCGCGAAAACGCGAGGCTTCTGTCATATTGAAGCCTCGCTCGTGATGTCAAGATTTCGTAAACAACAAACGCAGCAAACGAATTCCTGCTGACGCACTGTTATTTTTGTGTTATTTAAGGTTGTTCAAGTTTGCTTTTTGTGAAAATTGTCGCCATGGATGGATGAAGAATATTGTAAAGGACTGCTTTTGTAAATTTTATTCCACTTGCAAATTCCCTATTGTCAGGTTTGTTTACAGAATCGTGACCTCAAAAATGGTAGCCATCATGGAAGCCTTTGAATATAAAACTAAGTTTTATATTCAAAGATGAAAGCATTGTTTTGGCGGGAAACTTTTTATTTCAAATTTAGTATTATTTTTTGTGTAACAAGAGCGGTATCAGTTAAATAAAAACTGATCATATGAATATTGTGCAGTATAAACTATCGATCTAAAACAAATTTGGAAAATTTTATTTCACTTGCAAGTTCCCTATTCTTATTCAAAAAAATACCGTCAAACTGGGTGACTTGAGACAGCCGGGCGAGTTGAGACAAAACTTTTGAGGAAACTAATTATATACCTGGCAATAATATATCCGACGCATTTGGGCGCCAATCATATTTATTCGACTTAAGGGTTGTCAAGACGTGTTATAGTATAGTTTGAACCTCCTCGGAAACGATAAGTTAATTTTTGTGCAGTTTTTTATGCATGTATGTAATTTTTGAACTTAAAAATAGCTGAATAACTTTGCATACTGTCTCTATACTATCTAGGACTGCCTATTGAAACTTTACTCAGAAATAGATTGATATTTTGTGCATCTTTTGGAATATAGTGAGTTACTTTCCCTTTCTAAGAAAAAAAAAATATATGAAAAGGTAAAATGGCGGTTGTTGCTGGTGACTTGAGACTTGTCTCAATTCATTCCAAAAAAAAAAGAGTGTTATTATGTGCCTGTTCCAATTGTTTTTATGGTGTTTTCAGCATATTATGGGAAAATACAAAAAAAGAAACTTGGCTGCAGGACCTATGCTGATTATGATAGCGGAATGTTGAAACCAGCGATTGAAGAACGAGTACCTAAATCCTATCGATTATTATCAAAAAAATATGGCATTTCCAGGTGCACCATTCAACGAAAAGTGAATAGTCTCAATAAAAAAAATCCCGGTGGTCAAATAGTCTTTACAGTGGAAGAGGAGCAGAGACTTTGTGGAAAATTTAGAAGTTGCTTGCCGTTGGGGCTTTCTAATCACGGGCAACGACTTGAAACCTTTAGTAAAGTCGTAAAGACGGACGGGGTGATCAAAAATTCAAAAAAAATAACTTGCCTGGGAAAGATTGGGTCCAGCTTTTTTTAAAGAGACATTGTCACTTTTCAAACACTCGTTGGTGTGACAATATCAAGCCTGGAGTCAATAGCCACCTTTTAAAAAACGTTTCTTTTGTCTCAAGTGATCCTTTTAGCTTGAAACATGAGCAAAAGCTTGAAAAATATGGCTGTCTCAAGTAACCCACCCTAGCGTCCGACATGAGACAGTCAAAAAAAAATAAAAAAAACCTGGGTAACTTGTTATTCACATAAAACTCAACTTATAAAACCGATTCTACAGGTTAAGACTCAACTTTTGACGTGTTTAAGTCATCGCTAAGTTAAATAGTTTCGAAAATATCGCTTGCTGAAAGTCAAAATCGTCTCAAGTCACCCGATTTTACGGTACCATTTTAGGTGACCGGGCTATACTGCATATTCACCCTTACACACACTACATGCAACATCAGCAACTTTATATTATCTATCCAACAAGAACACAATCAAGTTCTAAATATACACTTTATTACACTAAGAAAACCATCATAACCAGCAACTAAACTAAGCGTACAAAATTAGACAGAATAGGGTTGCTCACTACCATCTTCGTGATATTTAGGATAGGTCTCCACATGTGAAAAGTCTTTCTTATCTTCCTGCCAGCCTCTTGGTGGAGCTTCATCATATTTAAACACATTCTGCCTTTCTCCATAAATTTTATTAACCTGTTCAATATGATCTCTGTATTTACTCGCTACAACTTTCTTGCCTGTAATAGGGCAAGTGGTGTCTCCTAGAGGATAAATAACTTCCTTGACTTTGTGAGTAATGAGCCGAGTTAGTTTTTGAGGAAGTTGTTCAATGAGAACAATGTCGCCAGTTTTGCATAGTTTTGTTGGATCGTGAGCATAAAGGAATTCGTGTTTAGAAAAATACTACAAAAATAATTAGTCAATTAGCATTTTTAGATTTAAAATTTCAAAGTTTACCATGTTGAGGTTTACATCCAATTCCAGTCTTTTCACTTTAAATTTTGAGGCTCCTTGTTTAAGGCTAGGCACACATACTCCCAATAACATGTAAGCTTTACTTGCAGCAGGTAAGGCCATTTTGTTGTGATTATTCAAAAATTCAAAACTCAAAAGTGGTAAAAGGGGTACTTCCACTTCCTGCTGCACGCACGATGGATTGAAAATTAAATATCTAAAAACCCTCCTCAACCAACCCTCATCAAAAACAGAATAAATATTCAAAAATCACCATGCTCCTTCTTCTTCTTAATTTACAACTAGAGTGCGGTTGCCAGCAATGCCAGTTGCCAGTTCTTAGTTCTTGTGGCTTTAGCTACCAATCATTGCACGAAGGAGTCCGAGGCCTTTACGGAAACGCTGATCCGATTAACCCGATCAGCACTGATGTAAATTGTTTTCTATTTTCAATCGTGTCCATTGATGAAACGGATCAGCGTTTCCACAAAAGAATAAAGGCCTCCTATTGTTTTCATCGGTCGATCCGAGCCCCTTTCTTAGATCAGATCTGCGATTGAGTTCGAGCGACTCCGAGCAATTCGATTCGCACTTTCTAATCTTGCGTTCGGTATTTTGCTCAAAGAGCAGAACGTGCTGAGCGGAGCCGTAATCATGCGACCATCGAGCGAACGAGCAGTTGAACGCTGTATCCGAGTGCCTGAACTTTAAATAAACGAACGCGAATGAGCCTGCACTGAGTACACTTTTTAAATAAACGAACGGTAAATTCAAGCTCGGACAACTCAGATTAAAATACCGAACGCACGGTAAGCTGTAAGAAAAGTGCATGTTTTGCGCCAAAAGAACGAGGGACGCGTTCATCAGGACATTCTTGATTGATCGATAGCGTAGCGAAATAACTTATGATGAATGAAAGCAAGGACAATACACACTACTACTACAGGATAGCTCATCCTCAAAGCGCCTGTGTAGATAAAATTTCAAGCCCCCCACCGCGCCAAAGAACCAGTGATGACGTGCCACGTCTCGTTTCTTGCCTTGACGTAGGGTGTTTGCACCAAAGGTTATGATTCCGCGGGCCTTTGCTTTATGCTTACCTACTTGAGATGTTTCCTCGCATCCACTTTTTTGAAACTGGTTCAAAACAGGTTTGAAATAGTAGGTATATTCTCGCGATGAACCCATGAGGTCACACAGAATTGGTTCAAACCGTTTCGAAATACAATCCAATCTACGTTTTCAAACCATTTTCTCGCGCTGAGAAGTTGTGAAGTCATTGTGAAACTGTTTTAAACCAGTTTTGAAAAATGTTTCAAAACTTTGAGACGCGAGGAAACACCTTTGGTCTTAAGACTCTTAACAACTATTTTCTAGATCTCGTTTGCAACTTCCTCTTTGCCTATTATGTTATTCAAACAAAATTAAATATTATATTTCATCATAAATTATAAACTACGAACGCTCGCGCAATAAGCTGACGACTTCGTTAATGACGTAGCCAATGGTGATAAACCAATATGGCGGCGATTACCAAAAACGATGTCGATAAGCAATCCTTAGTAATGTGTATTATCCTTGACAGCTTACGATGTAGTTGATGACGTTGCCAATGGTGCTACACAATAGAGAGTTCTCGTGCCGGCCAAATTTCAAATCTCGTAAGGCTATTTGACAAGTATGACAGTTATTACGGTTTTAGCATTAGCGGAGTACGCTATCTAACGGAACTTAGCGGATGCCTTACCGTAACGCTATGCTATATCAAAACTAGTATACGCTTCATTTATGTCTGCAAAAACAGCAACTTCTAATAATTTCTCAATAAAAAACACCAAGGTAAAATTAATCAAGCTCCGGAATCTTCAGGATAAATAAAAGTTAGAAAAAAAGCAAAAAAAAACTAAAAAAAGTTGGGTTAGATCACTCATGGCCGTTTCCACCAACTATTTTAGGGGAGCCTTAACGATAACTATTCCCTAAATTGACATTTTTACATGGAGAAATTTCAGTTTAACACGTTCGCTGCCAGAGAGATTTCGCTTGATCGGGTCCAAAATGCCAATGTTGAAAAACTATATTTTATCATCGGAATAGGTCTAAATAGCATAAAATATTCATTCAAAGTAGTACCTGACCCATATTTCTGCAAAAAAATACCATACCATACCATACCAAAGACTACCATGTTTGATTTTATTTATTTTTTTGTTCAACCATGTCTTTGTGAAATTCTTATACATGTCCCGTAGGCCAGGCACCCCATTAGCCTGTATTTTCAACGAATATACTCGTAACAAGTCCATTCCAAAATATTTCGTTGACTTCACGGCTATAAAACCCTACCATAAATTAGATAGCTATTAGCCTCTATTGTGTAGGTACCAGGTTCTTTTATGTAGGTACCGGGTTCCTTAATACCCACTCAAAGGTTTACAGGTACGGATTTTGTGCCCATTATAATGAAAACGAAAAAGGCGTTTCATAATATTATTTATGTATGTTATAATCTTATACTATCTTAATAATTACCAAAACTTTACTTGACTTTGAACGACACTATGCAAAACACGAGTTATCTCGTAGCTGGTAGAGTATCTGTAATAAGTGTCTACCTACGAGTTAAGTCGTACTTGGCAGTGAACGTGTTAAGGAATACTTATCGTTAAAGGGGGTGTGCGCCAAAAATTAAAGTTTTAGTGTAAAAAAATCTAAGAATAACTGTTCAAACCTCGTTATTCTACGATAAACCATCGCTGAGATATACCGCTTTAAAGTGTGGACGACGCTCTCGTGACGTCACGAGAACTTCGTCCAGCCTCGCTCCGCATTGTTAATTTGATTGTTCCCGGCACGCCTCAGTGGTTTTTGTTTAGATTATTGCAGGTAACACAGGAAAAACATATGTAAATTTAATTAAATCCACTTTCTCGTGCGTCGCTTGAGCTTTCGTGGCGTCATAGGGTGAGATGCGGTACCTTCATAGAGCCATATCTTCGGTATTATTTGTCATAGAGGGGTGCGGATTTCACTGTTATTCTTAGATTTTTTTTCTCTTTTTTTTGAGATGAAGTTGTTTTTTTGGCGCACACCCCCTTTAAGGCACTCCTAAAATAGTTGGTGGAAACGGCCATCAATTCAGCTGTGAAAATGTAAACAGAATTAAGGGATTAGACAAGAATCGTGAACTTTACGGATTGCTCAATCGGCTAAATTTGTTCACAAGTGCTGTGACGTCACGTGCATACCTGACTTTCAAGATGGCCTCCGATAAAAATGATAGTTATGAGCTTGTTATGAGTTTGTGCTGAGAATTATTTTATCGTAAATTCGAAGTTTATCAAATGTTATAAGTGTAATTAAAGTTTCATTTGATGTGTGTAAGCATAAAAGACTCATGGCTGAAAATAGTCGCGGAAACCCTAAACATTTTCTGGTTTTAGTGGTTTTGTAATACTAGATTTGTTGCATCAGGACATAGCTTTTTTTTATTCGTGTGTATTGCTTAGTTTTATACTGCTAGTATTTCCTAGTCAAGTAATTATTTGTATTGTTTTTTTTTTGTAAATCAAATAACTACTTAGTTGTAAGTTTCCTTTGCATATAATTACTTACTAAAAATTAGGGTTTGTGAAGTGTAAATAAATGAATAAATATGTAAATAATAGCTATTTATGTAACAAGTACATAAAGTAAGGCTTCATTGTACGAATAATTTTATGGCCGAGCGAGCTTGCGAGCGAGGCTATTAAATAATGAGTCAATAAAGCCTGTTTATGTAAGCGTTATATACATGATTTTATGTACGATTCTGACTGGTTTTTGTTAAAAATTCAAAAAAATTCATTGAAAAAAGTAAAATTTGCGTAGATATACCTGTTTCACCTTGGCAGGTTGTCAGGACCTGTTTCACTTTGGCAGGTTGTCAGGACCTGTTTCACTTTGGCAGGTTGTCAGGACCTGTTTCACCTTATCAGGTAGTCCAGGTAGGCAATAAAGTAGCACTTTATTTTACTAGTAAAATAAAGTAGCGCTTTATTTTACTAGTACAATAAAGTGCTACTTTATTGACGCAGAACTGTTCTATAAATAGCACTTTATTGGTCAATCGGACATAAATTCCTTTATTTTTAACCATATATGAAATGTTGTCATTACTGACTTTTCAAAAATTTGAAAATGTAACATTTCTGTCTTTTCATTTTCCTGATCTGTTACCTGTCCCCAGGACGGGAAATGAGGACGGGAATTTTTTTTCGTCCTCATTTGCCGTCCACGGACGGAAAATGGAGCAGGGAAATATTTCCCGTCCTCATTTCCCGACCTCATTTATTTGGTTGTTACGATTTTTTTTTTTCAAGAAATTATGGTTAAAAATAAAATGATATACAAGCCTCGACGGGAAACTTCATTGCTGTCTCGAAATTCAGAAAAACTATATAACCTCTCGATCAGCAATGAAGCATTTCCCGTCTCGGATTGTAATATACTATTACTGGCGCGTTTACTATGTAAACGCATGGAAAATATGCAGTGTTTTTCTGGATTCCGATTATGAAAATCTAAATTAGGTACCTATCACTATTTGGCTTTGTGAGATAAGCTTTGAATGTCCATAAAAAATGTATCTGCATTCAGTTTGTCCATTCTTTTACAAAAAAGTATCCACTCGTTTTGAATAGTTTTAGATACTAGCAGCAGTATGCAACATGCTCTTTTAACTTAAAAGCGCTTATTAAAACTGGTACTTTTAAAAATTTGTATGGATTAGAATACTCATTTTTAAAAGTGACCAGTTCTAAAAAGCGCTTTTAAGTTAAAAGAGGATGTTACATACAGCTGTAGATCTTTTCCTTTAGGAAAGCGATGAAATTTACATTTTTGACTGCTTGCTTTTTGATCAAAATAGTTGTTATTACACCCATACACAGCACATCTCATTCCAGGCATATCCATTTTATAAATGTACCTTTTGCTTCTTGTTGCCGTTGCCCCTAAAAAAAGGTAAAAAAAATGCATGCACATTTTAATAAAATATTTATGTGGGTGTGGGTATTTTGAAATTACCTTGCTGATAAGCAGAGAACAAACAAATTCGTTTTCGTAATTAGCTAACGACTTAAGCACACAAACTTGTGAAGGCTGCTAAATTTAAAAAACACAGTTTTCAAAAGACGGTTTTACACTGACAATAATTAAGGGTATTTAATGCGCCGTTTAAAATATATTGTAACGCACGTCGAACTATACGACTACCCAACAAGTTAATACTAATAAAGATGCGAGGTTCATCGCGATTATTGCATTGGGCTACTGTTGGGCCGGTTGGCGCTGGATCCTTCATGATAGCGATTAAAAATTTATCGCAAAACAGGCGGAGGAAAGAGCCAAAGGGGTTTGCTGCGGGTATAACAGAGACAGGCAAAATGAGAAGAAGAATTAATTAAATTTCTACAAAAAAATTTAGATACTTTTTGGGATTCTGGTTTGTGCTATTGTATTGATAACA